TCCAAAACCTCCTGCCGAAACACGGAACGTCTTCAGTGTCCGGAAGACAGACGCATACGTAAAACACACTGTCAAGTCAACCAGCTTTATATATGCAAGGCTGCAAAAAAGACGTACTCACGCACTCCAGTCTCTAGGAGGAGGAGCTGGCCGTCTGGTTGGGGTCTGGGGTGGTGGGTTGCTGTGCTCAGCGTTGGCCGGGGGAGCCTGCTCATCATCACCCCAGCAGAAAGGGGCGAACTCTGCAAACCGGTGATGGTTGTAGCCCATGTGCAGCAGTACCGGGACCAGAGTGAATAGGGTGTGTATGGGGAGCGTGAGTGGGTGTCTAGTGTTCATTTCTGTATGTCTTAGGTTGTATGTGTATGTGTGAGCATGAGGGAGGGAGTGTGTGACTGTGTCTGTATATGACTGTACATGTCAGGTGGGGTCTTGGACTCCTCCCCTCTCCTGGGACTTCTTGTGCTGCTACACATCTTCGCCTGCCCTCCCCCTGCCACATTTGGTGTGGAATGTGGTGTCTGGGTCTGCCTGAGTGTTTGCGGCTCCTGGGTCTGGGGGTTTAAGAATTTTGGAGTCTGCCTGACCAATCCCGGTGGCTGCCTGTTGGGATCTGAGTCCCTGGGCTCTGCTGGGTCCCCGGCGGGGGTGGTCGCCCCTGGGTCCCAGGCTGCTGGGTACCGGGCTCGGCCAGCGTGGGAGGCTGCAGGCGGGCCTGTGGGCTTGCCGCTGATGTCTCCCGGGACTCTGCCGGCTACTGGTTGTGGCCCCCCGGGGCAATCCTTTGCACCTTTCGAGAGGGGGCGGGGGCTTTTCTGTTTACAGTCTACCTGGAGTCCCTGCACTCTCGGCCAGCTCCTGGATCTCTGGGACTTGGAGCTCTCTCCATCTCCTACACATCTTTGGGGGCAGATCTGTGGTCCCTCACACTCTCTGTTGGACGCTCCTATAGAGAAACCTTACATAAACAAGCGCGTGTACACACACAGGTGATCACATGGTGCTCTCATAAGTATGGACTTGGGCACGTTCAACACTTGTCTTAAGGCTGTGGTTGCCACTAAATGCACTGTGATTTATTATCGTGTGATTGTTCAGTTAAACAATGTTGATTTTATATTTCATCATCAAATTGAAGCAGTGATAGCTTGCTCCTGTTGTATTGTTGTTTGTCCCTTTTCTGCAGGTCTAGAAGCAGACCCCTGTTCATCAGTGATTGTTTATTTTTATGGACCCCCCCCCCCCCCCACCACCACCACCTTTTGTCTTTTCCTTTCTCTTTCACCTCTGTCTCCGTGTCTGGTCGGAATTACAAAGCATTCAAAAACAATAACAATAAAGTTTTAAGTATCAGGCGTGACATTAAAAGCAGACGCTTTGATGCTCCACCTGAGAGTAAATCTGCAAGGCTTGTCACCAGCAGAGGCTAGCACAATGGCTTGCTTAGCAGCTAGCTAGTGAGCTAACGTCTGGTTAAAACCAACTTAAAAAGTGGTTTAACCTACAGATTAACTAAGAAAAGATAAAATATATCATCAATACTCACTTTAGATCCTCAGTAGACACCACAGACAGTGGAAATAATGTGTTTGGGGCTCAAAATTCATGTTGTTGACCGAGGTGGAAAAAAAAAGTCTGGGAGGCTACATCACTTCCAGGTCACTGAACTGTCGCTCAAGAGAAACCACTGTCCTATGGGAGAGGACTTCTCAGAAGTCCCACCCACCCGAAAGGGTTGTGTCAGAATTGCAACCAAAAACTCAGGGATTGCAAAGGAGAAAGCCAGAAAGTGTAAGTGCAAATCTGGTAGTGAGAGCAAAGCTCTGAGCGGCGAGAATCAAACTAAGGAAACTGATAACAAAAACACATAGAGGCAAACAGAAAACGGAAACATACTTTGTTACTCATTTTAAGAATCTGATTCAGATCATAAATTTTACTTTTGAAACATGTTTTTTTTTCCTTTAGTCAATATTTTTGTTCTGTCAATTTCTTAATTTTTGTTTGACCGTCAAAGTGTTTTTCTTGATCATTTTAAGAATCTGATTCAGATCGTAAGTTTTTCTTTTGAAACCAATGTTTTTTCTCTCAATGTCTTAAAATTTGTTTGCTCTCCAAAGTGTTTTTTTTTTATCCTATTGGCACAAATCTAATCCCATAGGTACCCTCACGAGGGACAAGCAAAATAACTTGCCAGAAGTCCATGCGAGCTCACGATTGCACTGTTGAAGCGGTGCAGCGAGCGGCTGAGACCCAAAAAGTACCAGAACCGCTCACGGCGCATGCGCAATCCTGCATCAACACCGCTCGCCCGCTATTTCCCTAATAACAAACGCTGTTTATTTTTATTTCTACACGTTTTTTACTCACAAAGATCGTCAAGAAAGCGTGTTTGTCGTGTTCATGTCAAATTAAACTGATCACTAAACACAGATTTACTTTCTTTATTTCGTTTTCCTCATCCAACCCCCATAAATCCCTGTGTGTCCTCCTGCAGCACTCCCGACGGACAACAGGCAAAACAAAAGTCTGACATGTTGTGTTAAAACTGCTATTTTTAGCATATTTTTAGGTGCGACATGTTGCTACCAGACGTACGGTGTGATCAGTCAGGTCGCATCCGAGAGCTCCGTACTTCTCCGAGCAAACATGAAGAAGTTGATTATTATTATGTTTTATAGTAAAATCAGAAGTAAGATTTCACATAACTCTAGCAGCACCTTGTGAAACATCATATCTACCGCTTTATTAACTCTGAACCGCTTAAATAACCTTAATTCCCTCCAACCTGACACAGCCAAACAAAACAACGGAAGATTCACATCCCCTTATGCGCTGTGTTGAAGTTCAGAATGTGTTTAGTTGGTAGATTTAACCCCATAAACTTTCCACATGAACTATATCATATGTGTTATTAAAAGGCCTGATAAAATAGTGTGATTTGAATTGTGTTTTATTAAAAAAGGCAGCGGGAGCAAATATGAGTTTGGTTGTGCTTTATTTGAGCACTATTACCGGTAATTAATCATCAAATCCATCAAAGTCCTCATCTTCTGTATCTGATAAGAGCAACTGGGCTCGAGTACAGTCAAACACGCCAGGTTCTCTCTCGTCACAGTCAGAGTCTGTCTCGTTGTCGTTCGTCTCCTCATGAATGATGCCGGCTTTTGCAAAAGCCCGAACAACAGTAGAAGTAGACACATTAGCCCAAGCATTTACAATCCATTCACAAATTTCGGCGTAACTCGCCCGGCGTTGCCTCCCAGTCTTTGTAAACGTGTGTTCGCCATCTGTCATCGATCACTCCCACGCTGTTCGCAGCCTTACTTTGAACGCCCTGTTCACGCCAGTGTCCAGCGCCAGTGTCCAGCGCCAGTGTCCAGCGCCAGTGTCCAGCGCCAGTGTCCAGCGCCAGTGTCCAGCACCAGTGTCCAGCGCCAGTGTCCAGCGCCAGTGTCCAGCGCCAGTGTCCAGCGCCAGTGTCCAGCACCAGTGTCCAGCGCCAGTGTCCAGCCTCCCGGAATAACCGCGAGCTCCGAGTTCATTTGCTTCACCCGTTTTTCACACCGGCCGTGAGATGAGCGCGCATGGAGTCATAGATCAACAGGGACGGTGACGTGTGGAAAAAACCGCCTGGTCTCTTCACATACACCTCATTCAGCCACTCTTTCATTTTGTCCTCATCCATCCAGCCCTTTTCGTTAGCCTTAGCGATGACTCCAGCTGGAAATTTCTCTTTAGGCAGAGTCTTCCTCTTAAAAATCACCATAGGTGGCAGTTTCTGTCCATTAGCATGGCAGCCAAGCACAACAGTAAATGCAGATTTTTCGTGTCCCGTTGTGCGTATCGGTACCGTGCTAGTCCCCTTCTTCTCAACAGTGTGATTCACCGGGATGTCAAAAGTGAGCGGCACTTCGTCCATGTTGGTTATGTGGCTGGGCTGGATGTGTTTGTCGGCAATCTTCTTACTGCAGTATGCAGATGGACAGCTTTTCTTTGTAGTCCACTGGAAGTTGCTGCACCACCGTAGTCCTTGCTCGGATGGAAAGATGACGGCGTTTCATAAAACGAAAGCACCAAGACGCACCTCCTTGAAAATGTTCAATGCTCATTTCTTGTGCGAGAGTTACTGCTCTCAGACGAATGGTGACGGTAGAGACGCTTCTCCCAGCTGTCCTCTGCTCGTTAACCCAAAGCTCGGGGCGGTCTTCCAGCTCAGGCCACCTGGCTTTGTTCCCACGGAAACACAGCTGCGTCTTCTTTACTTGTCGGAGTTCGTTTTCCAACTTCCTCCACTTGCGAACCATGGACTCATTAATGATGAACTGTCTCGCCGCTGCTCTATTCCCGTGTTTCTCCGTGTAGCTGATCGCTTGCAGTTTAAACTGTGCGTCATAGGTGTGTCTCTTAGCAGGTGCCATTCTCAGGGTTGTCAGAACAATGTTCAGCATACCGCGCATACCTGCCCTTTTGAACTATTCGGGGTCTGTCTTCGCTCACGTCCGCACGTTCACGCCACGCCCCTTGTCTTCTACTACGTTCGCGTCTCACAACAACACAATGGGCGCGCCGCACCATAGGGCGCGGCGTACATTTTGGAGAAAATTTAAGACTTTTAGGTGCTCCTTATGGTCGTGAAAATACGGTAGAATATGATGCTAAAGTTGATTTATTTCAGTAAAGCAGAAGCGCCCAAACCGAGGACAGGGTACATGTGTGATTACTTTTTCAGACGTCTGACATTTCTGTATTTAAAATCCTAGTTTTTTTGCTTTCATGTCCTTTTCTTTCTGAGATTTAGAATTTCATTGTAGTTATAACAAATAAATGCTGAAGCGTCTGGCTTTGCATGGAACGCGTCAGTCTCGTAGACTAGTTTCACTTTTTAATCGCATAAATGGACTTTTGCACCAGATTCATATTTTTCCAGTTTCACATATAAACTCCATTTTCTGAGGTTACATTTCCTTTCTTTTGGGTTGGCACTCGTTCTGGACCAGGGCTCACTGAGTTCAGAGACAGAACTGTCTCAGTACTTCTCTCAAGACGTTCCAGACCACCCCTTCCAGTCGGACCCAGTTCTGTCAGTCAGTGATGGAGTTCTTCACCAGCAGAGTTACAGCATCTCAGCGGAAGATGGTTTATCACAAACACAAAGTAAACACTTATTCTCCTCTAAAAGCAAACAAAGCCGTTACTTATTTTATTCTCTGTACCTCCCAGAGTGTGACCCTGAGTGTAGCTTATCAGCTGAGAAGGTCTCCAGTCTCCTTAACCATCATCAGGCTGGTGGTGTCTCCAGCCCAGCACCAGCACGGAGCCCACTCCTTCGCCAGCGACGGATATTCTGCTATGACGATGAGCTCAGAGATTCTGAGGAAGATAAAAACGCTGAGCTCTTATCCCTGCCACACAAGCCCAGACCTGATGATGTGGTTCCAGGTTTGCTCCAGATCCAGACTGATCTGACACTGCGTGAAGATAACCAAGAGGGTGCTGCTGAACCTGGAGATGTTCACACAGTGAGCCTGAGGAGACGTGACAATGAGAGCTTTGGCCTTGATGTGGAGATCACGTCATCTCCGCTGAAGGTTCTAATAGTTGGGTTAAAGCCTGGTAGCAGCCCAGCAGAACCGGTATGTCTCACTTTAAACGGTTGTGCTGAGAGACTGGACAGTCATGCAGGATGTTGTTTTTCCTTTCTGCTTGTAGAACTCAAGTGGAGAACTCAGTCCTGGAGATGTGATTGTCAGGATCGGTGATAGAGCAGTGAGCTCCTTTAGCTACCAGGACCTCTGTGAGCTGATGCACAACCTTCCCACAATGCTGTCCCTGGAGATAAAGAAAGCACTTCCAGGTAAGGTCTAAGCTTTTTACCTGCCCTGTCTATTCCGCAGGTAATGGGGGGGGGGGGGGGGGGGGGGTAACTGAAGGACAGCAGCCACCGACACTAACACAAGCCTTCAGGGGCCCCTGACCAGCTCCTGACGGCCTGCAGACAAGCACCAGGAAGTCTTGAGGGTGAACACTGGAAATTATGTCATAAGCGATGGTGGTGCATAAGTCGAATTAGCAAAGCTATGTTAGCATTTAACACCTTTTGACCCGTTGTCAACTTGACTAGACAAAATCTGACCTGGATCCCAGAGACCAGGAGGACCACTTGTGAGAAGCAACCAGCTGAGAGCAAGGTGAGGCCAGACTGAGCCCCGCTGAAGGAAACAAAACAGAACCAAGTCCATCAGCAAGCTAACATGGACACCTGCTCAGGTCGCAGAAATAGTACAGGGGTCAGAGGTCATCAACAGGTTGGGCAGCCAGTGGACTTCTGTGAAAATAGTTTGCTGATGTGTCCTGTTGGATATTCTAGGACTGTTTACAGCAGTTTCTTGTGATTTGAAGTTTGGAACATAGTTTTAGGCATTTTTCCTCTTTTTGCTTCCAGACCCGCCCAAAATGGAATTCTACACAAAGAATCCACAAAATGATTTAAGGGTTTGGTTCTTTTATTTATAAGAGGAGCTAAACTGTGTGAGTTTCTGATCACATGTTTGACCCATGCATCAGTCAGATGTTCCTCCTGTCTCTGAGCTTTAAAGCCCCAGTGTGTGATATTTTTACCTGTTTACTAGCAAATCCTGTGTTTGCAGTTCACAAACGTGTCCTTTTTCACTAATATTTGTCACCAACATCAATTCTAAATATTCTTCTCAACTTGAAATTATGCATTTTTAAATACATAGACAGTGGTCGAGGCTCCATGGTCATCCGTTGTCTTCGTCTTCGTCTCCCTCCGCTTGTCCGGGTCCGGGTCGCGGGGGCAGCATCCCAACTAGGGAGCTCCAGACCTTCCTCTCCCCGGCCTTATCCACCAGCTCCTCCGGCAGGACCCCAAGGCTTTCCCGGACCAGATTGGAGATGTAACCTCTCCAACGTGTCCTGGGTCGACCCGGGGGCCTCCTGCCGGCAGGACATGCCCGAAACACCTCCCCGGGGAGGCGTCCAGGAGGCATCCTGACCAGATGCCCAAACCACCTCAACTGGCTCCTTTCGATCCGGAGGAGCAGCGGTTCTACTCCGAGTCCCTCCCGAATGTCCGAGCTCCTCACCCTATCTCTAAGGCTGAGCCCGGCCACCCTACGGAGGAAACTCATTTCGGCCGCTTGTATCCGCGATCTCGTTCTTTCGGTCATTATCCAAAGCACATGACCATAGGTGAGGATTGGGACGTAGATCGACCGGTAAATCGAGAGCCTGGCTTTCTGGCTCAGCTCCCTCTTCACCACGACAGATCGGCTCAGCGTCCGCATCACTGCAGACGCCGAACCAATCCGCCTGTCGATCTCCCGATCCCTCCTACCCTCACTCGTGAACAAGACCCCGAGATACTTAAACTCCTCCACTTGAGGTAGGACCTCTCCCCCGACCCGGAGGTGGCAAGCCACCCTTTTCCGGTCGAGAACCATGGTCTCAGATTTGGAGGTGCTGATCCTCATCCCAGCCGCTTCACATTCGGCCGCGAACCTACCCAGCAAGAGCTGAAGGTCAGAGCTGGATGAAGCTAGGAGGACCACGTCATCCGCAAAAAGCAGAGACGAGATTCTCCTGCCACCAAACTCGACACACTCCACACCACGGCTGCGCCTAGAAATTCTGTCCATAAAAGTGATGAACAGAACCAGTGACAAAGGGCAGCCCTGGCGGAGTCCACCCCTCACCGGGAACAGGTCCGACTTCCTACCGGCTATGCGGACCAAACTCACGCTCCTCTGGTAAAGGGACTGAATGGCCCTTAACAGAAAGCCACCCACCCCATACTCCTGGAGCGTCCCCCACAGGGTGCCCCTGGGGACACGGTCATAAGCCTTCTCCAAATCCACAAAGCACATGTGGATTGGTTGGGCAAACTCCCATGCCCCCTCCATCACCCTTGCAAGGGTATAGAGCTGGTCCACAGTTCCACGGCCAGGACCAAAACCACATCCACCATCTTAAAATACAGTAGCTGTTTAGGGACATACGAGCTCCACGTTCGACGTTTGGACTATGACTGTAACCTGAAAGAACCAGCAGAGGGCAGCAGTGCGCCCTGGAAGCCTGGAGTCTGCTAATTCAACTAAGAAAAAGAAAAGAATAGCTGCACCTTTGCTGTACTCGTTAGTTTGAATAAAAAACTATTAAATCAAAAGACACATAAAATTTGTCAGTTTATCATGTCCGACACAAGGACGCCAGATATGTTCAGACCCCGCCCACTATTATCTGGACGCCAGCCTCCGATTAGTGTCTCTGACTCCCAAACTCGCCTCAAGTTGTTCATTCGTCTTTTCCTGGTACCAGAACTCCCGATCCGGTCCCAACGTGTCCGTTCCCAAGTGCTTCTACTCAAGTCTCCTCTCTTCCCGCAGCCTGCCGTCTCCCAACACGCTCCAGCGCTCGTCCGCTAGCCAGTGGCTTAATCAGCGTTGTCTACTTTATCTCCACAACACTTTACTAGCAGCGATGTAGTTCTCCACGCGTTACTGAGACGCTCCGACTCAGAGGGCTTCTTCTCAGATGTTACCTTTAGACTTGGGTCTCCTTTTGCTGGTAATCCGTGGACGTTTACACACAGCGTCTCTCCGGCTCTAGCCATGGCTAACTAGTAGCTTGTGACGTCCATCTCCACCACGCCAGCTGTGAGCCACGATTAGCTGGTGGATAAGTCAGCATTGTTTCCTTGATGTCCAGCGTGTCCCCGGCTCACCAACCCTCCTTCACCAGCCGTGGCTAACAAGCAGCCAGTGATCGCTCCATATCCGTATAAGCTGCAGCCAGTTTGTTTACATCGAGGCTCTGTGGTCCATGTGAAACTGGTGTTGTGGGAAATTATGTTCCCCTGAAATATTCTGTTTCCCTCAGGCAGTCAAGAGCAAATATTTCCAAATCCACAGAACCAATAGAGCTCCGGGAGTTGACGTCACTTCTCCCGGCATGCAACAGTTCAAATCGAAACGGCGCCATATTGGCAGGCAGAAGCCGGCAGCTGGACTATTTGTTATTGTCAGAAAACTCAATCAAACGGGAAATATGGTAGATTCCTGTTGTGCCCCAGGATGCAGAACAGACACGGACGACATAAGGAATGAGCCATCTACAGGATTCCCCAAGATCCGGAGCGCCGCAAACGTTGGATCATTGTAATAAAACGCGCTAGTGACCGGGCTAAAATGAAGCTGTGGGATCCCGAGAGTAAAGGTTTTCGCTTATGCAGCGACCGCTTCATATCAGGTACTTAAACCAACGTTTCCTCAACTGTGTATGGTATTTATTTTAAATGCTTTTATTACGATTCTTAGTGGGCTTCCTAAACTTATTTTGGCGTGGCTTTTTCCATCTTATTACTCACAGCAACAAGTAAACGTCACGTAAAACGTTGCCTCGTGAGTTCTGCGTGCTGCCGTTTACGTGTTTTATGATCACAGCAATTAACCGGCTAAGCTGTGTTTAATTTTTAAGCAATGGTTGATCAATTGTCAGATCACACATAAAAGCACTTTGGATTGCTATTATCTGTCTCACCGAGACAGATCTCAGACAGATCCTGAGACGCTCCTGCCTGACATATTTACTTTATTCACGGAAACAAATCAGACTAGTGATTTCTCTTGGTGTTCAGTTTATACATTCAAACAGCACAGTGCTCTATTTAAACTACTTACGTGTAAATCTGTTATTTGTCCATCCATCCATCCATTTTCATCCGCTTATCCGGAGTCGGGTTACGGGGGCAGTAGCGTCGAGAGGCCCAGACTTCCCTCTCCCCAGCCGCCTCCTCCTCCGGGGAAATCCCAAGGCGTTCCCCAGCCAGGTCCGGTAAGAAGTCCGCTCCGACAGCTTCTGGCGTTTTAAAAAGTATCCCAGGGACACGGTAAGGGTCGGAGATGTTTAGTCTATTTAATTTCTGACTAGATAAAAGGATTTCTTCGGTTTTAAAGTGTGAAGTAAACTCCGACGAAGTAAAATCCAAGCCGATCCCGTTCACGTTCATGGTTACATCCGTGTTTGTTTAGCTTTTTACCTGCCAAAATGGCGTCTACTAACTGAGAGTCATGTGGGGTCCGGAGCTCTATAGTCCATTATGAGGACTAAACTAGCCCAAATAAAAGATGTTAAACTGAGTGAAATTACATCTTTTTACATAACTTTCAAAAATGACAATTTCTCACAACACCTGACCTCCCGGCTGACGTCACCCCTCCTCCGTGTGTGAATCACGACCGCTTCGAGAACAGAACTAGCTTGCTTCCCTCAGAGCTGGTGGGTTGATAAAACAGTCATAATTATGAATACTTTTTTGAAGAGGTCGAGTAGCTTGTTTTAAGCTTTGTGTGGGTTAGGCTACACAGGTTGGAAATTAATTATACTGTCAAACTCATGAGTGGGCCACCGTAGCTGCAATACTTTCTCTGAACTGCGTGGCGCTAAAGAGTCACATTTTTCATCCTGATTTCAATGGATTTCACACACGGGGCGTTGAACCCTCTGGAGGCAGGCGTTGCAGACTAGCAACGTTAAAACCTACCTACCTGGTAACTCCACACACGTGTTTCATGAGCATTTTATAGCTCAGTTAGTCCCCTGAAGGACTTAGTTGTTCGTCCTTTTTTCAAAACTTATTTTGAGCCTGAGAGGGTTAGCCTCCATTATGTTGTTGATGAAATTTATTTGTTTTCTGATTCTCTGTTTTAAAGAGAACATATTTTATTTTCTTGCATATGTAAGAAAACGTTTATCTTGAATGAATGAATTTTGAGTAGAATGAAGAAAGCTTCATGACAAACCAGAGAGCATGCTTTCTCATATGTGACAAAAACA